GAAGGAAGGAAGGAAGGAAGGAAGGACTAGCAATAGCACTTAGACTTATATACCACTTTACAGTGCTTTGCAGCCCCCTCTGAACTGTTTACAGAGTCAGCCTCTTGTCCCCCAACAATCTGGGTCCTCATTTTACCAACTTCGGAAGGACGGAAGGCTGAGTCAACCTTGAGCTGGTCAGGATTAAACTCCTGTAAGTGGACAGAGTCAGCCTGCAATACTGCATTCTAACCACTGCGCCACCATGGTCCGTCCTTGCTTGCTTGCTTGCTTGCTTGCTTGCTTGCTTGCTTGCTTGCTTCCTTCCTTCCTTCCTTCCTTCCTTCCTTCGCAATAGCACTTAGACTTATATACCGCTTTATAGTGCTTTTACAGCCCTCTCTAAGCAGTTTACAGACTTACCCACCTCGGAGGAATGGAAGGCTGAGTCAACCGTGACCTTGGTGAGATTTGAACTGCAAATTGCAGTCAGTCGGCAGTAAGCAGAAGGATCCTGCAGTACTGCACTCTCACCACTGCGCCACCACAACTCGTAATTTAGGTTCTCCCTTAATTCCTGGGCCTTGAGTGATTCTCTCCCCAGATTTTCCTGAGGCAACCAACCCCAGAATGGAGAGCTGTTTAATTTTGCTTCTCTCCCCAGGACTATTTTGGAGTCTGCTCCGAAGTTGTTATCAAGGACAACGTGGTGGTGGTCTACGAGGTGCTCGAGGAGATGCTGGACAACGGTTTCCCCTTGGCAACGGAGTCCAATATTCTGAAGGAGCTGATCAGGCCGCCGACAATCCTCCGGACAGTTGTCAACACAATCACAGGTAGATCTTCATCCAACAGGGTAAAATGGGCTTGGCGGATTGGTGGTTTATGGAGCGGATCAAACTACCCTGGGAGCAGCAGTAAGTTTAGGATGAAGTGGGTGGTGTGAATCTAGGTATTGGGTCATGGTTCAGTTCAGCATGGGTTAGAGCAGTGGTCGCCAACCAGTGGTCCAGGGACCATTGGTGGTCTGTGAGAAAATATTGGTGGTCCGCAGAAAAATGTTACCCTCAAAGTAATTAATCCAGGCTGTGCGGGAACACAAGGCTGCGCTGCTCACATGGCCCACGAGATACACAAGGCTTGCGTCCCTTGCATTGCGCACAACATGAGGTAATGAGGGGAGGGGGGAAAGGGCAGAGGGGGGAAACTTGTCCCATGCGCCCCACACGCCTGGCCTGGCCACCGGGCTGCTTCTTTCCGCTTCTTTCTTCTTCTGCTTTGGGCTGCACGCAAGGAAAGCAGCAAGAGTCTGTCTTTCTCTCCCCAAACTCCGCCAGAAATGAGTCTTTGGGACCCTGCAAGCCCTCCTGCTCCAAGAGGCTGCACCGGCATGACAAGTTTCACAAAGATTCATTTTTGGCAGAGTTTGGGGGAGAGAAAGAAAGACTTCTGCAGCTCCTGCTGCTTTCCTTGCATGAAGCCAAAAGTCTCTCTCTCTCCTCCTGAGAATAGAGCTGGAGACGGTATCCTGCGATCCCAAATAAAGAATGATCGATCGGTAGGAAAATGGGGCTGCAGACTTTTTGGGGGGGATTTTCCCAGGGTCTCTGATCCGTGGGATTTAAAATTATGAGTTTGGTGGTCCCTGAGGTCCAAAAGGTTAGAGGTCCCTGGGTTAGAGCTTAGGTCCCCAATCCACATTGTCTCCTATGAAACTAGACACCCTAGTAATGCCACACCTGGAATACCGCAACCAATTCTGGTCACCCTACTTCAAAAAAAGGATGTTGAGACTTTGGAAAAAGTTCAGAGAAGAGCAACTAAGATGATCAAGGGACCAGAGACTCAAACCCATGAGGAACTTCCGGCTTCTTCTTCCTCTTCTTCTTCTTCTTCTTCCTCCTCCTCCTCCTCCTCCTCCTCCTTCTTCCAGGAAGCACCAACGTCGGAGAGCAGCTCCCCACAGGGCAGCTGTCTGTGGTGCCCTGGCGACGGACCAGCGTGAAGTACACCAACAACGAAGCCTACTTTGATGTGATCGAAGAGATAGACGCCATCATCGACAAGTCAGGTATTCCGATCATCTCCTTGCTCAAAGGCAGCCGAAACCTCGTATTTTAAGGAAAACCAGGTAGCCCGTGTCCTTTGCTGTGTGTGTGTGTATAGAAAACTATCTATCTATCTACCTACCTACCTAATCTATCGATAGATATCTATAGATATACACACACATCTATCTATCTTACATGTACACACACACACACACACACCTATATCTGTCTGTCTGTCTGAAGTATAAATATAATTTTGAATCCTGTAAATCCTTCCATTCTATAAAGTATAAATCCTTCCATTCCCCACTATCCAGTCAGAGCAGAAGAAGCTTCTTGGATGAGAAGGGAAACGTCTTCAAAGAAAAAAACAGAAATTCCAGTTGCCTCTTGAAAAAACACCTTCGGGACAGCGGTGGGGAATGTTCTTTCCCTAACTATCTAATCTGTCTGTCTGTCTGTCTGTCTGTCTCTCTCTCTCTCTCTCTCTCTCTCTCTCTCTCTCTCTGCGTGTGTGTGTGTGTGAGAGAGAGAGAGATAGGCAGGCAGGCAGGCAGACAGACAGACGGGGTAGGAAGTAGATGAGAAAGAATGAGAGATGAGAGATGAGAGAGAGAGAATGATAGATAGATAGATAGATAGATAGATAGATAGATAGATAGATAGAT